TTTGTTAAGGTGGAGAGTCAGAGAAAAAGAGGAAGACCCTCAGTGAAATGGATTGGCCAAATGGCAGCATCCATAGACTCAAGCGTGGAAACAATTGTGAGGTTGGCCCAGGACCGGGCAGTGTTTCGTTCTGTTGTGCATAGGGTCACTATGAGTCAGTACCGACTTGATGGCACCTAACAACAACAACACAAAGATACCCAATGATTTCCCAAATGGTAGGTATCTTGGTATCATATTCTAAACTGTTCTGTGTGAATGAAATATTTAATAAAAGTTTAATAACTAAGAAACAGACCATAGTAAGAAAGAAATTCACATCAATGTTTCTGAATGCAGGAAAAGAAATTCAACTTTCAGAAACTTTTATTAGCAGACAGGATCAGGAGACTATGTTCCCGAGTATAATAATTGTGGGCCTGGGCCTGTTGTTTACCATCTCTAGGCTTTATCAGCTACATCATCTGAAAAATACAGAAGATGGTATTTTCCAAGAGACAAAACCAAATGCATTCCTGAAGCCCTCTCCATGTTAGAAGCAGAGTCAGTAGCTAACAATTATAACACTAAGATAATTCCAGGAAATAGAGAGTGCCCAGAGATCCTGTGTGTTTCCTGGGTGCACTTTGACCTTGATGTCAACACTCACCACTGTTTGCCTTGACCGTCCCTTATTTGAACATTAACTCCTACGTCTCAATGGTGATGGTGGTGTGCCATGGAGTTGGTTCTGACTCATAGCAATACTGTATAGGGTTTCCGAGGCTGGAAATCTTTACAGGAGCAGAAAGCCTCAGCTTTCTCCTGTGGAATGGCTGGTAGTTTTGAACAGTTGACCTTGAGGTTAACAGCCCAACTCGTTACCACTAAGCTACCAGAGCTCCTTTTTCTCTCAATATACTGTAAGTTTCTTGGGTGAGAGGGATCATGTTTTATTCATCTTTGTAAATAAATCTTTGTGGAAATTTTATTTTCTTTCCAAAGACAGTGTTTTGGTTGTTGTTGTTGTTTTGCATTAGAAATTAACAATATGATGATGGTGGTGGTGTTGTACCATGGAGTAGGTTTCAACTCATAGCAACTGCGCATCAGGTTTCTGAGTTGGTAGGTACTCTCAAGTTGATTCCAGCTTATAGTGACCCCATGCGACAGAGGAGAACTGCTCCCAGAGTGTTTTCTAGGCTGTGATCTTTGCAGAGGCAAATCTCCAGGTCCTTCCCCTGTGGAGTCGATGAGTAGATTAGATCTGCCAACCTTTTGATTAGCTGTCTAGTGCTTAACTCTTGTGTTACCTGAGCGTATTTGAAATAGTACAGTCTATTTTCATACATGCTGACATTTAGTAGGGATATATTGAAAGCACCAGTCACTTCTGTATATTAGCAATAATTTTTTTTTATTGTTCTTTAGTGCTGTGGAGTCAGTTCTGACTCATAACAACCCTGTATAGGGTTTCCAAGGAGCGACTGGTGGGTTTGAACTGCCGACTTTTTGGTTAGCAGTCCAGTGCTTATTCTACAGCGCATGTCAGTCATTTACTTAGCAACCATTTGTGATTCGTACCATTTGTGATTGCATTGGTGTAGCAATCAGCAAGCACCAGGGTCCTTTATCACCAGGGAAGGTTTCACCAGGTGAAGCGTTTTGGTTTTCATCTAAAGATTGGAGCTGTACAAAAGCACCACTTTCCCTGTAATTTCAGTAATTCTGTCCTGGGGTGATGTATCTATAATGAAATTCTAAAAAGAGGAGAGAACAAGGCAACAACCTGTTGCTTGGGAATGACAGTTGTCCCCACAGATGCCATCTTCTCTAAGGCCCCCAGAGTGTCTCACCTTTAGGCAGTTCTTTACCACTAACTCTTCTGGAATTAGAAATCTTAGCGCCGCAATTCTCACATTGATTACTCTGCAGTCCCATGAGGGAATCAGAACAGAAGCTGCCTCCTGAGTCAGAACCTGAAAAAGCCCACGTGATTTAAAGAATGTATGAGCTTCTTGATTACAAAATGTGAAGAGCAAACCTTTAACTGTGCCAGGTATGCTGAGGCCCCAGTGTCAACTTCCCCAAGCTGTGATACCAAGGGGCACTCCCAGCCTATGAGTGACATTTGGGGTCCCCTTCCAACAACTGAGAGATGGTTTGATAAGTTACAATCCTGATGTGAAAGTCTCAAGAAGTGCCTAGAGCATAAAATAAAAAATGAGTTGCTATCGAGTTGATTCTGACTCAAGGAGACTCCATGGTGTCACAATAGAACTGTGCTTCGTAGGGCTTTTTGTCACTGTGATCTTTCAGGAGATTGTCAGGCCTTTCTTCTGAGGTACCTTAGAGTGGACTTAAACTGCCAACGTTTCAGGTAGTGGCTGAGCATGGAAACATTTATGCTATCCAGGGATTCTACTCAATTCCATCTACTCAATTCCAATACCTTTCGACCCTATTGTAGATAAGTAGGTTTTGACTCATAGCAATCCTATGTAGGGTTTCCGAGGAGCAGTAGGTAGGTTTGAACTGCCGACCTCACGGTTCAAACCAACCTTGCAATCCAGTGCTTATCCGACAGCACCATACCAGGACTCCATTGTTGTTGTTGTCAAGTGCCATCGAGCCGATTCCGACTCATAGCGACCCTGTATAGGGTTTCCAAGGAGCAGCTGGTGAGCTTGAACCAACGACCTTGCAGTTCAAACCGGCTTTGCAGTCTGGCACATTAACCCACAGCACCACACCAGGACTCCATTAGGTCAAAGTAACACTGCCCCATGAATCTTTATGGAAGCAGACCGCCTCATCTCACTCCCTCAGAACAGCTGGTGTGTTCAAATCGCTGGCCTTTTGGTTAGTAGTTGAGTAACAACTGGGCCCCCAGCAGTCTTCTGCCTAGCACACAGAGGTGTTCAGTTAGGGTCTGTCAGATGAATGGATGTATGAGAATATGGCCCACTGAATTGCCAGATCATCTCATCTGTAGATGTTTTTCTAAGTTTGTCCTGACACAGCCTCATTCTTTCTCTCAGAATCTGCTGTGGCAAAGAGCTTGTGTCTTATTAGGCAGGTAATTGGAAAGACAGTTTCCCCTACATGAAATTCATAAGCCCACCAAAAACCCTGAATCATGACTTGCCCTCAGTGCCACAGAGAGCACATGTGCCTGGTGCAGGTCTAGAGTCTGTTGTGCCGACTGTGGGCAGTGGAGGACTTCCAGGAAGGCCAGGCCATGGAAGCATGGCCAGGGAGATGGGTACATGGGACTCAGAAGGTCCAAGCAGCTTCCCAGCACCAGGACGCAGGTTTCCATGAGTCAGACCTAACTCAATAGCAACTGGCTTGGTTTTATTATTATTATTATTACATGAAAATGTACCATCTCCTGAGAGGCTAGCACAAAATGAAATGTGACAGAACAGCCATACTGAGTTGAGGCAAGGCTCTGTGCAAACAGGCTGTATGAATGTGTAGGCAGGCCCTGTTGGCTCTCGGGCCATTTCCTCATGTATAATGTGGGTAGATCAAGCTCTGGCAGGCATTTTCAAGCACAGAAGGTGCCTGAGCAGGCAGGTCTTTTGCCTCACCTCTTTTTCACCAAGGCAGGTCTGCCAGAGGATTTTTTTCTGCTTAAACTCTCTTTGGAGAAAAGATCCTATGACAAAAAGCCATTGAATTCCTGCACGGGGTAGCCCCTCAGTCTCCTTTCATTTCTCTGCTTCTTTGAATTGTATTTAGACAAGCTGGTGCTACTAAGGTCCTGGTAACCTTGCCAGGTATATTTATGGATTATGGTGGAAGAGTGATGGCACAGAGAATTGAGGGTCCTTGGTGGCTAGTCCATGGGGCCCCATGATTCCAGTCAGAACTAAGTGTTGGCTCTTCACACTACTGGACTATGGATTATTTTAAATCTATTCACAAAGTCTTTAATATTTTACATAAAAGTATAACAGTCCAGTCTGGGGGAATGTTATACAGAGTAGCAGATAGTAAGATTGGATCCCACCATGAGCTAACCACGTGGTGAGGAGCCCCAGACCTTTCTACTTACTGCAACTTGAACACAGGTCTAATGGGTTTTCTTGAATGATGATTGAAAACCTTCCACAGCGAATTCTTCTGTGACCTCTTTTCTCCATTTTTTGTTTCCTGGGAAAGGTGCATAAAATCCCATGAACTTTAAGTATACTTCTAGTAACAGGGAGACAGCAAGTATCGCTGAAACAAATGTTAAATTTCTTATGTCACACAACCTGGAATAATGTAGGGATCATGTGTCATTCTCCACACAGAGATCCCCTATATGTTGGAGAGAGTTCCCACATAAGAAACCACATGCAGGACAATTTGACCTGATAAGAACATGTACACCAAACATTAAAAATGAATATGTTATAGGATTTTAAATTCCCATGGAATCCAGACATACTGGAGCCATTGAGTCCAAATGAACCCCTGAAACTACATTGTTAAAATTTAAACTAAAACTATCCCTTGAAGATACCTCTTTTTTTTTTTTTTTTTTTTTTTTCCCCTCCTTGAAGTCATTGTCAAACAAAACAGGACTTTAGCTTAAATGGAAAAGAGCATCTGCCTCGAGTGTTGTGTTCTTTCACAGAATTATCATTATGACATTAAACTGATAACAGCAAGCAGAAAGATTTCATGGGAACTTTAGAAGCAGTGAGTTTATGTTGTTGTTGGTCAAACAATTCATGAAAGAATATTGAGAAAGAATATCTGGCACCACTTGAAGAATGTAACCAACGTCACTAAATTGTACATGTACAAATAGTTAATATATGTTTTGTGGTGTGCCTCTTAAAAACACAAATGAGCAAATAAATCTGTTTTGCTCCATTGAGGATAATGTCTAATCATATAACAAAACAAAACAAAACCACTGCCACCAAGTCAATTCCAACTCATACTGGCCCTCTATTGGGTTTCTGAGGCTATAAATCTTTATGGGAGCAGACAGCCTCATCTTTCTCCCAGAGAGCAGCTGGTGGGTTTTAATGCCCCATCTTGGTTAGCAGCCCAGCCTGCTGCTACTGTGTGCCTTCGAACTGGTTCAGCATTATAGGGTTTCTGAGGCTATAGATTTTTACTGGAACAGAAAGTCTCATCTTTCTCCCACAGAGTCATTGGTGGATTCAAACTGATGACCCAAAGCGTAACCCACTATGCTACCAGCTCCGTGCCCAATACCTTGTTCTTGTTGTTAAGTGTCATCAAGTCATTTCGGACTATGGTGACCCTGTATAGGGTTTCCAAGGAAGAGTTGTTGAGTTTCAACTGCCAACCTTGTGGTTCAAACCAACCTTGCAGGGCAGTGCTTAACCTACAGCACCACACCAATGCCAACACATGAACAAAATAGAAATCTGAAGTATGGAATTATAAATCTACCTATTTTTGGATTTTCCTCATATACTTTTCTCAAAATCAATTCTTAATATGGGAAGAAGCTTTGAGATATGTCAATACTAGGCTCTTTGGCTCTATGAATATAAACTGATTGTATCAAAATACCTTAGAAAGGTGAGTGTTACTCTATATCTGGGGGAACTAAAGGCTGCAGGGGCTCTGGTAGTGTACTGGTTATAAAATGAGCTGCTAACCTCGAGGTCGGCAGTTCAAAACTACCAGCTGTTCTGCAGGATAAAGATGAGACTTTCTGTTCCCGTAAAGATTTATAGTCTCAGAAACCCTGTACAGGGTAGCTATGAGTTGGAACCGACTCCACGGCACTAACAACAAAGGTTACAAGAGTATTCGAGGCTAACAGAAGTTGCACAAAGCCACCAGGAGGCACCAGAGAGGAGTGATTACAACTGTCATTTACCAAGAGACCCAGGCACCCAACTTTGTTCTCCCTCCTTTACAGAAATTTTAATTCCTCCCAAAGACTTTTATTAATAACAATTCTTAACATAGCTCTTGCTCAACCCCTGAGATACAGTAGTAGCCCAAGGGAAAGTTACTCATTCTTAGTGTGGAGGTCTCTGTGTCCAAGCCATCCTGGACCAACTCTGAAGCAGGGATAAGACGATTCCTCAGCCATGAGCCAGAGGCAATGCTTAGCAAATGCATGCTTCCATCTGTGTCTGGGCCTGAAGCTGGCAGAAAGAGGCCCAGCGCCTGGAGTTTGTAGTGTGGGGGCTGCAGAGCCAGGCCATTTCCCTCTTGGAAAAACATGCTCTCCTCCTGAGTCATATATTTTCTCACACCTCATTTTCTGTCTCCACCCTCATTCAGGGTAGTTGAACATCTGCTCCCCCAAGTGGAAACCTTGGATCTCACTCAAGTGAAATAAGTTCAACACATGACTTTCTTTTCCTGATTCTTTTAAACTTCTTTGTGCATGAAAATCTTACTAAACAGTCTATTCAAGAAGGCTGTTTTAAACCAAACAAAGCAGGGAAAACATACTCTTAAATTCAAAGTTCCACACCAGAAATAACAGAGGAATAAGATTTTACATTTAGTATATAGTACAGGGTCGCTATGGGTCGGAACCAACTCGAAGGCACTTAACAACAACAACAACATATATATATATATATGTATGTATGTATGTATTCAGATAGAGATATATAGATTTGTGGTGTGGTGCTATAGGATCAGCACTGAACTATTAACTGCAAGGTTGGCAGTTCAAACCCAGAGAGAGAGTCTTCTGGTGTGCTGTAGGATAAGCACTAGACTGTTAACTGCAAGGTCGGCAATTGAAACTCAACCAACTGCTCCTGGGAAACCCTATATAGGGTCACTATGAGTTAGAACCTACTTAGCAACTATATATGTGTGTGTGTGTATATATGTGTGTATGTATATATATATATATATACACACACACACATCATACATATATATATATACATATACACACACATATATATAAATATATGGAGTCTTGGTGTGGGTTAATGCGCTGGACTGTAGGGTCCGTTTGAACCATAAGATTGGCGGTTCAAGCTCCCCAGCTGTTATGTGGAAACCCTACACAGTGTCGCTATGAGTCGGAACTGACTTGACAGCACTTAACAACAACAACACATACATATATAATTTATCTGCATATATAAAACATTTTGGAAATATTCAGTACTTACGTAAAGAACTTGTCCTATCCAAGATGTATCTAACCCTCTAAAAGATTATATAGCTTGTGGATGATAGGGAACATATGCTGTTGTTAAATGCCATCCCAAATTATGGCCACCCTGTGTAGGGTCTCCAAGGAGCGGCTGGTGAGAGAATATATAGCCCTCCCTTTCATTAATGAATGGTGTTCTACTCTATAACACAGTAGTGTCAAGAGTCTGAATGAGCTCTACAATGAGTAATTAATAATTCCTCAGGGATTATGTAGTTGAACAATATTTCAATGTGTAAATCACATGTCTCCTCATCACTCTTTAGCAGTGGATTTTATGTTAAATCTGATTTTATACTTAATTGTGTTTTTCTTTGTATCTTGCCCACCATAAAAGAATAAATTTACCCCCTTGACTGTGGCCCTTAGACACTCTTCAAGAACTAAACCCACCTCTGGGGACCACCTTGCAGCCAAAACAACACACAGGCCCATAAAGTGAACACTAACAGTCACGAGGAGTGTATTCCTCAGAATAATCAACCATTAGAGACCAAAAGGGCAGTATTTGCCCCAAAACAAAACTCAGAAGGCAGGAAAGATGGATGAACAGAAGGGGAAACCCTGGGAGGAAGTGGGAAAGTGCTGTTTCCAGTTGAGGGAATTGAAACTAATGTTACAAAATGTGTATAAATTGTTGAATGGCAAACTAATTTGCTCTGTAAATGTTCACCAAACCACACACACACACAAATTTGTTTCCGTCTGTGTTGGGGAAGGTGGGATGGTGTTTCTTTTAGCCTGGGACATTGCTCCTCGTCTTGGTATTGGAGATTCTACAGGGCCTAGATTAGGAATTTGGGATAGTAACATTTAGTGCCTGGAATGCGTAATCAAAATGTTTCTTAAATATCAAACTATTTTTATTATACTTTATTATACTTAATACTTTATTAATATACTTAATAAAATAGATTTTATTATCTAGAGTTTACATTGATAAATAAAAACAGGCCTGGGTTGACCCAATGAGTAAGCATCATAGTTGTTGTTTCGTTAAGTGCTATTGAGTCAATTCCGACTCATAGTGACCCTGTATAGGGTTTCCAAGGAGCAGGTGGTGAATTTGAACCACCGGACTTGCAGTTCAAATGACTTTGCAGTCTGATGCATTAGCCCACAATGCCACACCAGGATTCCAAGCATCATTAGTACCCCTTATATAAAAGTGAAGGCTTACATCTTGGTTTAAGCAATGGTCTATCCCAGATGACACATGGTGATTTTTAGCACAAACATCAAACTGTTTTCTTTTTCAGGGAGAGGAAACTCATAGAACACTTAGGAGAAATAAATGCCCACTCCCGTGGCAAAATGCTTTCTAACAGGAAATGTCAGTCTTTCAGCCCTAGTCATGTGTTTCTATTAGAGTCTATTTAGTGATTACCAAACAGCTCTTTGACTCTTGACCTCACAAAAGTAAATCGGTCAAGCATTAGACCAGGCCCACAGTGCCTTGTCATCTTAGAGGTGGTGCATCTCAAGCTAACTGGAAGCAGTTGTTCTTGAGTGGATTCCAACCTGTGGCAACCTCGTATGTGTCAGAGTAGAACTATGCTCCATAGGAATGTCAATGGCTGATATTTTGGAAGTAGGTCAACAGTCCTTTCTTTTGAGGTGCCTCTGGGTGAACTAGAACCCTGAGTTTGTTAACCATTTGTACTATCCAGGGACTCCTAATTAACAAAAGTTTCAAATAAATCATTTTGAACCCACATATGCTAATCGTTGATCCAGTGAGCATTCCTAAAACACTAAGGGTGTTATATTACCATTCTTTACAGTATACACAGTTCATTACTTCTGAAGGATTTCTTGCTGAAGAATGGTAAGAAGTAATCCCCAAGAGAAGGGATTATGCTCGTTTCCAGTGACAAGGTAGGACCCCACAGAGAAGATTTTTGCTCATCCTAAGTAGTGACGGGAAATGGGTACACAGTGTACAATAAGCCCTCATCTACAGGACCACTCCCCAAAAGCTAGAGTAACGATTCTTAGCAACTTCATCAGAACTGCTTGGGTAGATTTAAAAAAAAATTAGTCAGGGCTCCACCCCTGGCAATGCTGACTCAGTAGGTGGGGCTGAGGCATGAGAAATATAAAAAATCTCCCTAGTGATTCTGGCGCTCACTTCATCTGAGAACCACTGCTGGGGGGATTTGTGTTAGGAGGAAGGCTGGGCTATGTGCCCAACCCTGAGATGGTGGCTCTCTAATAACAAGACCAGCGACTCCTGGCACGCTTTCATCTAGTCCACTCCTACTCTCATGCAATTACTAGCCTGGTATTTAACACTGTAACGCTCACTGCAGTTACACCGTGGTATTTAACAGCAAGAAGGCCTCACCGTTCAAGGGCCCGGTGGCAGAAGGCACAACTTGGACTTGGCTCTGTAGTCTCTGCGCGCTCCTGCCTTCGCGCGGCGCTGTTGGGGTCCGCCTGCACCACAAAGCACAAGGGATGTAACAGAGGATATGACTCATGTCCACCGCTGCCAAGCGCAGCTCAGCGAACAGTCACACCGGTCCGAATCCAGGGTAGATTCACCAAGCCACTCCCTTTACAGATGAGGAAACTGAGACCCAGGGGAACAGGAGGAAGAAAAATACCTCATTCTTAGTTCTAAGCGAGGTCTGTGTTTATGGTGGTGGTGGGGGTGGTGGTGTGCGGTGGAATCGGTTCCGACTCATAGCAACCCTGAATAGGGTTTCCAAGGCTGTAAATCTTTATGGGAGCAGAAAACCTCGTCTTTCTCCCTCGTAACCGCTTGTAGTTTCCAACTGCTGACCTTGAGGTTAGCTACCAGAATTGTGCTAATGATGCGGGGATGATTGTAAAAACGAAGTTTCAACAATGGTTTTTCCTTGTGCAAACTGATTCACAAATGAAGAATGCTTTTCCTTTTTTTTTAATTACTGTAGTTTAAAGTTTCTCCAAGCTTCACCAGAAAATAAACTTAAGACTTATTGTTGTTGTTAAGTGCCATCAAGTCGGGTCCAACCCATAGCGACCCTGTATACGGTTTCCGAGGCGTAACGGGTGAGCTTAAACCACCAACCTTGCAGTTCAAGTGACTTTGCAGTCTGGCGCATTAACCCCTGTACAGCATCACACCAGGACTCTCTACTGACCAATAATTAGTAGAACTCTTAAACATTTTCCCAAGTAATGAATTCAACTATGAATTGAAACAAGATTTAGAGACTATCTAGAGGCCTAAATTATTGACAATAAATTTCTTTTTAATGCAAATATGCTTACATAGCACAACTGAAAAGGCTGGTGATATGCAGCATGTGTTTTTACTAGTCTTATACCCTTTAAGCAGAAAATAAATGTACTTTCCACTATCATAAACAATGCAGGCATAAGCATCATTGTACAGATCATTTTTTTCCATATTTTGAATTATTTCCTTAGGAAATGTCTGGGTCAAAGGTTGCAAACATGCTTGTATGATGATACATATTGCCAAACTGCTTTCGACAAAGGTGGTACGGATTACACCACCACCAGTGATGTAGGGCAGCGCGATTTGACCACACCTTCCTCAGCATCAGGAATTAATCATTTGAAAATGTTTTTGTTCATTTATCAAAGGAGGTAGGGGAAGAGCTGGTGGCAGTTTGTGTTAATTTAGCATTGCTGCTATTATTAAAAACAGTCCTGGTAGCACAGTGGGTTAAAGTTGAGTTGGTTAACTGAAAAGTCAGCAGTTCGAACCTGCTTCCATAAAGATTTATAGCCCCCCAAACCCTATAGAACAGTTGTACTTTATCCTATAGGGTATCTGTGCATCTGAATCAGTTTGATGGCAGTGGGTCTGTTATTACCACAGGCTTATTTATTGGTTGTAGTTCTTGCTTTTTAGTTCTTTTGTTCATTTATTTATTTTGGATGGTTTCAGTGTTTTCTAACTAGGAATAAAAGCAACCATTAGTTGATTGCTCATCGTGTGCCAGGTGCTTCTCATAGTGTTGTTGTTAGGTGCCATCTGGTCAATTCTGACTCATATTGTCCCTGTGTGCAGCAGAAACAAAACACTGTCCAGTCCTGCGCCATCCTCACAACTACTGTTACTACTGAACCCATTGCTGTTATCACGGTGTCTCATTCCATCCCATTGGGGGTCTTCCTCTTTCACTGACTCTCCACTTTACCAAGCTTGATGTCCTTCTCCATGGACTGATTCCTCCTGAAGACATGTCCAAAGGGACAAAGACTCGCCATCCTGGTTTCCAAGGACCACTCTGACGATACTTCTTCCAACATAAATTTGGTTTTTCTTTCATGGTACTTTTAATATTCTTCTCCAATGTCATAATTCAAAGGCATCAATTTTTCTACTGTAAGTCTTATTTACTGTCTAACTTTGAGATGCATATGAGGCAATTGAAAATACCATGATTTGGGTCAGGCACACCTTACTCCTCAAACTGACATCTTTGCTCTTGAACACTGCCAAGAGGTCTTGTGCAGCAAATTTGCTCAATGCAATACATCGTCTGATTTCTTAACTGCTGCTTCCATGAGTGTTGACTGTACATACAAGCAAAATGAAGTCTTTGACAACTTCAATCTTTTCTTCCTTTATCATGATACTATTTATTGGTCCAGTTATGAGGATTTTCATTTCCTTTGAGGTGCACTCTATATTGAAGTCTGTAGTCTTTGATGTTCATCAGTAGGTATTTTAAGTCCTCTTCTCTTCTAGCAAGGAAGTTTGCATCATCTGCATAGCGCAGGTTGTTAATTAGTCGCCTTCCAATCCTGATGTCACATTCTTCTTCATATCATCCAGCTTCTTGGGTTATTTGCTCAGCATATAGAGTGTATAAGTATGGTGGAAGGATACAACCCTAGCACACCTTTTCTGATTTTAATCCATTCAGTATCCCCTTGTTCTGTTGAACAACATTTTGGTCTATATACAGGTTCCTCATGAGCACAGTGTAGTGCTCTAGAAGCCTGTTCTTCACAATGTTAGCCATAGTTGGTCATAATCTACATAGTCAAAAGCCTTTGAATAGTCAATAAAACACAAGTAAACATCTTTCTGGTATTCTCTGCTTTCAGCCAAGATCCATCTGAGATGAACAATTTTATCCCTTGTTTCATACCCTCTTCTGAATCTGGCTTGAATCTCTGGCAGTTCTCTGTCAATATACTGTTGCAGACATTTTTTAATTATCTTTAGCAAAATTTTACTTGCATGGGATATTAATCAAAGTGTTTGATGATTTCTGCATTCTGTTAGATCATCTTTGTTTGGAATAGGCACAAATATGCATCTCTTTCTATTGATTGGCCAGGTAGTTGTCTTTCAAATTTCTTGGCATAGGTGAGTGAACACCTTCAGGGCTACATCAGTTTGTTGAAAAATTTCCATTTGTAATGAATTCCTGGAGCCTTGTTTTTCACCAATGACTTGAGTACAACTTGGACTTCTTCCTTCAGTATCATTGGTTCTTGATCACATGATAACTCTTGAAATTGTTGAACATGTACTATTTCTTCATCATCTAATATTTTGCCAATTGTTGTTGTTGTTAGGTGCCATCGAGTTGGTACCGACTCATAGCGCCTCTATGCACAACAGAACAAAACGCTGCCCGATCCTGGGCCAACCTCACAATTGTTGCCGTGCTTGAGTCCATCGATGCTGCCAATAGAATCCTTCAATATTTCAAGTTAAGGTTGAATTTTTTCTTTAGTTCTGTCAACTTGAGAAATGCTGAGAGTGTACTTTGCTTTTGTGTTTTTAACCCCAGGTCTTGGTACATTTCATTATAATACTGATACTTATGTTGTTGTTTGTATTAGGTGCCATCGAGTCTATTCTGATGCACAGTGACCCTGTACAGGGTTTCCAAGGAGCAGTTGGTGGGTTTGAACTGCCAACCTTGTGGTTCACAGTCCAGTGCTGATCCTACAGCGCCACATCTGGAGTCTGTCTACTTTATATATCTTCCCATATTTCTCATTGTTCCCATTTTGATGATGAGTTAATGATGAATAATATGAGACTCAGAGAACTTAAACAAGGTCAACAAGAGTGAGTGACAGAGACAGGATTTGAACCTTCACCTATCTGATTCATATCCAGGTTCTCTTAACCATGATTTGGGTCAGGCACACCTTAGTCCTAAAGCTGACATCTTTGCTCTTGAACACTGCTGCTCCTTTGCACATCTGTTGGAAAACTCTGTAAAATGAAGATGTCAACATTGAACATGACTTGCTGTTAATATCTTTCCAGTTGTCAACCTTTAAAACATTAGCTGTTTTCAGCTTTGTAACAATAAGTTAAAATATTTGTGGTGTGTATTTTTTTTTAATCAAAGACGAGGTACAAATGTCCAAGAAGTATATATAAATAGGTTGAATTTCACAGGCAAAGAAACACCAAGGTATCAGTTTTTACTTATCACTTTAGCAAAGGTTGAAAAAACAAAACAAAAACCAAACATTCCTCAAGGTGGGCTCAGGTTGGAGACACCCCCAGTCTCAAGTCCTGCTATAGGTGTGTAAATGGGCACCACCTACTAAAGGTCAGTTTATCAGAATTTTTCAGTGTTTGTAACTTTTGAACCTTTAATTGCACCCCTAAGTTTTTATCCTAAAGAAAATATCAACTTTCTAAAATAAAATTTTAAAAAATTACATGTAAAATGATGTTACTTGAAGTATTGATTATATATCAAAGAACTGGGATGGTGGGGAAGTAAATGTTCATCTATAAAGGATTGGTTAAATGAATCAGGGATATTCATATAATGAGATAGGAGGGTGAGGCAAATTATCTGCACTCTGGCTGTAGAATTTATTTTAATCAACTTTTAGAAAAGAAAAATATATAATTTTTCAGCATAAATCTCCTTGGTTTTCAATACATTTTGCCCATCTGCCAACAAGCTTTTGTATTCCCTTATTTTAAAATGTTTTAGACTGAGTTGAGAGCCACAAATGCACCTCTGTCTTCACTTCTTCAGAGGTGAATCTTCTTCGAAAGGCTGCCTTCAGGGGACCAAACAGGTGAAAGTCCAATGGAGCAAGATCAGGACTATAGGGAGGATGCTTTAATACGTCACAACTTTTTAAGCTTTTTCTTGATTGGCGATTGAGGATGTTTCCATTCTGTACTCTGCCAATTACTCTCAGACTTGTAGTGTTGAATTCATGTTTTGTTATCAGTAACGAGTTTTTTAAAGAAACTTTTATCTTCCTTTGGGTATCGGTCCAAATGTTGTTTGCAGATGTCCAAACACTCTGTTTATGCTCTTCCGTGAGTTATTTCAGTACCCATCTCACACAAACTTTTCAAAACCCAAGTCTATGGTGGGTCATAGGCAGAGTCATGGCTGATTTGCAAATGATTTACCACATAATCCATTGTCACTTGTCTATTTGACAGAATCTTTTCATGTGCACGCTCAATGTTGTCATCAGCCATGAACATGATAGGGCATTTAATAAAACCAGAGTACAGATAATTTTTGACTCGCTCTCGTACAACTGTTGTTGCTGTTGTTAGGTGCCATTGCGTTGGTACCGACCCATAGCGACCTTATGCACAGCAGAATGAAACACTGCCCGATCCTCGGCCAACCTCACTATTGTTGCCACATTTCAGTCCATCGATGCTGCTACTTGGTCAATCCATCTAATTGGCGGGGTGGGGAGGGTCTCCCTCTTTTTCTCTGACCCTCCACTTTACCAAACATGATATCCTTCTCCAGCGACTGGTCCCTCCTGACAATATGTCCGAAGTATGAGAGATGAAGCTTGGCCATCCTGGTCTCCAAGGAGTACTCTGGCTGCATTTCTTCCAACACGAGTCTGTTGGTTCTTTTGGCAGCCCAATGGCACTTTCAATATTGTCCTCCAACACCATAACTCAAAAGCATCAATTCTTGTATGGTCTTCCTTATTTACTGTCCAGCTTTCACATGCATAGGAAGTTATTGAAAATACCATGGCTTGCTTGGGTCAGGCACGTCTTAGTCTTCAAGCTGACATCTTTGCTCTTCAACACTTTAAAAAGGTCTTGTGCAGCAGATTTGCCTAATGCAATACGATGTTTGATCTCTTGACTGCTGCTTCCACGAGTTGTTGATCCAAGAGGAATGAAGTCCTTGACAACTTCAATCTTTTCTCCATTGATAAGAATGTTGTTATTGATCCAGTGGTGAGGATTTTTGTTTTCTGTACATTGAGATATAATCCATACCAAAGGCTGTGCTCTATCTTCATCAGTAAGTGTTTGAAGTCCTCTTCACTTTCAGCAAGCAAGGTTGTATCATTTGTATTATCACAGGTTGTTAATGAGTCTTCCTCCAATTCTGATGCAATGTTTTTCTTCATAGAACCCAGTTTCTTGGATTATTTGCTCAGCATACAGGTTGGATAAGTATAGTGAAAGAATATAACCCTGTCACACACCTTTCCTAATTTTAAACCATTTAGTGTTCCCATGTTCTGTTCAAATACCTGCGTCTTGGCCCTCATACAATGTAGGCATGGAAAATGAAGCTGTAGGTTTATTCTAAGTGATGTGAAGAGATATCCACAATATATTGTTAAATGAAGAAAACTGAGCATAAAGCAATATAGTATGATTCCATTTTTATAAAAATGTATATTACAGTATGTGTAGGTTGTTAGGTACTGTAGAGTCCATTTTTGACTTGTAAACCAAAACCAAATCCATTTTCATCAAGTTGATTCTGACTCATATGACCCTACAAGTCAGAGTCAAACTGCTGCACAGGGTTTCCTAGACTGTAATCTTTTCCCCAGGAATGGTTGGTGGGTTTGAACCATCAACCTTTCCTTTATCAGCCATGCACATAACCACTATACCACCAGGGCCCCTTTATGACAGAGCTGAACTGCCCCATAGGGTTTTCTAGACTGCAATCTTTACGGCAACCCAGCTGTTGGGTGGGTTGAAGCGTCAGCCTTCCGGTAGCTGCCAAGTGCTGACTGTAATACTGCTAAAGCTCATTAGATACATGTGTGTACAGATTTAGAGACTGGAAGGATACACTAAAATGTTAATGATTTTTCTCCCTGTGAAATGTTCTTTATACTTTTCTCTACTTCCTGATTGTTTTCTGCCATTAACATACATGACTCTTAGAATTTATTTATAGGTTTTCTTCCACTCTTTCTGTGTTTTCTTTTCTCGCTTCTAAACCTGCAGAATCACACTTGCATTTCCCAGTGAAGACAGACTGGCTTAAGCAAAGTGTCAGGAGGGGCCAGTTCACCAGAGTTGGGAAATTTGGACTGCATGTTATAAACACAGGGATTTAATATGAGGGAACATCAAAACATTCATGGAAGAATTCCATAGTCTTTTTATTCCATTTGTCCACAAACTTTTTGAAGCTCCTAGTACTCTATCTCCTGTTGTTTCTCCTGAGCAAATCACCTCACCTTTCTAAGCTTCCAACTCCCTTTCTGCAAAAAAATCTTTGTAAATTGTAAAGCTCGGAACCCAAAGAGTGTGCATATTATATTGTTGCTATCATTTAATCCCCACATTTCCAAATCATTCATGAGATAATCTATAGACCCTGGCTACTCAGAATGTGGTCCAGGGACTAGCAGCATGGCCATCACCTAGAAGCTGGTCAAAAATGCAGAATGGCAGGCCCCACCCAGGCCTGCTGAATCAGTCTCATGCTAATGTGATCAGCAGATGAGTCCTCCCACATTAAAGTGGGAGAAGCCCTGGTCCAGAACATATAGCCCTGCTAAGTCTCCCGAGTGTTGAAAAAGTTGATAGTAATACCAGCAGTTACCACCAGCACTGATATCCAGGGTGCCAATAAGGTGTTCTTCATTATTCTAATTTCAACCTCAGGTTCAGTAACACTAGTGATGGCTATGGTGAACAGAGTAGAACCAGGACTGGGCAGCTGGACATTACCCTGGATACAGAAGACAGCCTTACGGACATTTGATCCGGCAGGTCCTGGGCAGCCATATTCCAGTTCAGCGAGTTTAGGTAACTAATAAAAAGAAATGAAATGAAAAGCAGTTTGAATAGCTCAATCAGGTCTCAGGTTTCCTGGGAGTCTCCACACTTTGGGATCACTTGTCCCTCCTTTGGTGACCAGTCCTGGATGATAGGAATGTCATGTGACCACTGGACTTTCTCCTGTGCCCCCTATCCACATTCTCAGCTCTTCTGCTCTCTGCCCCTCATCTCTGCCCAGGGCATTGAAAGGCTCTCTGGTTGTCAAAGTGCAAGCAGAGAAGCCAGGTTCTCGAGGTTTATACCACTCAATCCAAGTTTACTTCTCCCACTGGTTCCTCTTGAACCCTACAGAGGAGCTGCTTGAGAACCTGACCACCCATCTTTCCCTGAGGCTGCTAGGGGGATGAGGAAGGTGAGTGGAGGTGGGACTCACGTCTTTGAGTCTAGTTCACAGAGTTCCTCAGAGACGGCCTCCTGAGGTTCTGTCTTGTTCACCCCTGTCCCTGCACTTTCACACATGCCTGGAGACTCAGACGGGTCATCAAGGTGCTCCTTAGGAATCTGGAGGGAACCACACAGTTGGACTTGCTGTTAGGGTTACAATCTCATGAAAGAAGACTCAAAATTAGTTCAACATCCCCAAGCCCATTGGTATCCAATCACTAAGAAGAGCCTGTCAGACTCATAGCAAGTCTACAGTACAATGTAGAACCACCATAGGGTTTCTAAGGTTGGAGTCTTTATGGATATACATCGACATATCTTTCTTCTACAAAACAGCTGGTGGGTTTGAACCGCTGATCTTTCAGTTAGCAGCTGAGTACTTAACCACTGTGCCACCAGGGCTCCTTTAAACATCCCCAACCCATCCCTAAAACACCATGAGATCTAGCCAGGAATGTCAGTTTCCTAGACTCCTCAACCAGTTGCCCACTCCTTATCCTCTAGGACTCAATTCAAATCTTGCCTCTTTTGAAAAGCCTTCCCTGACCATTTCTTCCTAATATCCCTACCCTCCCATTAGTTACTTCTGGCTCTATCCCATTACCTAATAGTCACGGTAGCTAACACCTAGGGAGTGCCATACTGTGAGTCAAGCCCCTTTTTAAGTACTTTACATATATTAACTTATTTAAACCATATAACAACCCTGTGACACAGGTATTATTATTGTCTCCATTTTAAGGATGAGGAAACTGAGGCACAGAGAAGTTACATCATTTGTCTAAGTTCAGAAAGCTAACCAACCAATGACAGAGCCAGTATTTAAACCCAAGGAGGCTGTCTTTGGAGTCCATGTAGACTGCAGTGCACTTTTAATATTCTGTAATTCTTTGTGTGCTTTTATTTGTTAATTGTATATCTCCCTCATAGAAATAAAAACATCTCGAGAGCAGGCGACTTGTTTGCCTTGTTGTTGCTACTGTTGTAAGGTGCCATCCACTCATTTCCAACTCATAGCCACCCTAAGTACAAGAGAACAAAACACTGTCCAGTCCTGTACCATCCTCAAATATTACTATGGTTAGTCCATCATTGCTGCCACTGTGCCAATTCATCTCCTTGGGGATTTCTCTCTTTTTGCCTGGCCCTCCATTTTAATAAACATGATGTCCTTCTCCAGGGATTGGTTCCTTTTAACAACATGTCCGAAGGGCACAAGACAAAGTTTCACCATCCTCATTTCTAAGGAGGATTCTAGCTGTATTTCTTGCAAGACAGACTTGTTTGTTCTTCTGGTAGTCCATGGTACTTTCAGTATTATTCTCCAACACCATAATTCAAATGTATCAGTTCTTCCATGGTCTTCCTTATTCACTGTCCATCTTTCACATGCAGATGAGGTAATTGAAAATACCATGGCCTGGATTAGGATCACCTTAGTCTTCAAAATGACATTTTTACTCTTTGACTCTTGAAAGAGGTCTTTTGCAGCAGATTTCCTAATGCAATACATCATTTCATTCCTTGACTACTACTTCCATGAACATTGATTGTAGATCCAAGCAAAATGAAGTATTTGACAACTTCAATCTTTTCTCCATTTATCATGAGTTTATTTATTGTCCAGTTGTAAGGATTTTCATTTCCTTTACACTGAGGTACAATCCATTCTGAAGGTTACATCGTCTTTGATCTTCATCAGTATTTCAAGTTCTCTTCACTTTCGGCAAACAAGATTGTGTTATCTACATATCACAGGTTGTTAATGAGTCTTCCTCCAATCCTGATGCCACGTTCTTCATGTAACCCAGAATCTCAGATTATTTGCTCAGCATACAGATTAAATGGACTTGTTTGGCATTGTGGGCTAATGCATCAGACTACAAAGTCATTTGAACTGCAAGGTCGGTGGTTCAAGCTCACCAGCTGCTTCTTGGAAACCCTATACAGGGTTGCTATGGGTTGGAATCGATTCAATGGCACTTAACAACAACAACAGATTAAACAATTATGTTAAAATAATCCAGTCCTGGTACACACCACTCCTGATTTTTAAATATTCAATATTTCTTTGTTCTGTTCTTGGTTCTTCATGAGCACAATTAAGTGCTCTGGAATTCCCATTCTTCTCAATGTTATTCATATTTTATTATGACTCACCTAGTTGAATGCCTTTACAGAGTCAATAAAGAACAAATAAACATCTTTTTGGTACTCTCTGCTTTCAGCCAGGATCAACCTGATGTCATCAATGATATCCGTAGTTCCATGTCCTCTTCTGAATCTGGCTTGTATTTCTGTTGATAGAGTGCTGCAACAATCCTGAATGATCTTCAGCAAAATTCTACTTGTGTGTGATGTTGTTGAATGATTTTCACATTTCATTGGGTCACCTTTCTTTGGAATGGGTACAAATGTGAATCTTTTCCAATCTGTTGGCCAGGCAGCTGTCTCCCAAATTTCTTGGCATAGACAAGTGAGCTCTTCCAGTGCTGCTTTAGTTTGTTGAAAGATTTCAGTTTGTATTTAGCCATTCCTGGAACCTTTTTTTGTGTTGTTTTTTGCCAATGTTTTCAGGCAGCTTGGACTTCTGCCTTAAATATCATCAGTTCTTGATCATATAGTACCTCTTGCAATCCTTTTTGGTACAGAGACTCTGTGTATTCCTTCCATATTCTTTTGATGCTTCCTGCATCATTCAATATTTTGCCCACAGAATCTAATAGTATTTCAACCTGAGTTGGATATTTTCTTCCGCTCTTTCAATTTGAGTAATGTTAAGTGTGTGCTTCCCTTTTGGTTTTCTAACTTCAAGTCTCTGCGCATTTCATTATAATACTTTACTTTGTATTCTTGAGCTGCCCTTTGAATTTTCTGTGCAGTTCTTTTACTTCCTTATTTCATGCAGTTGCTTAAACTTCTCTATGAACAAGAGCAAGTTTCAGAATCTCTTCTGACACCCACTTTGTTTTTTGCTTTCTTTTCTGACTTTTAGTTTTCTTCATGTATGATGTTCTTGATGTTATCCTGCAAGTCTTCCAGTTTTTGGTCATTAGTGTCTAATGCATTAAATCTGTTCTTGACATGGTCTCTAAATACAGGCAGGATACGATCAAGGTGACATTTTGGCTCTCATTGAGTTTTTTAAATTTTCTTCAACTTCAGCCTGAACTTGCATGTGAACAATTGATGATCTGTCCCACAGTCTGCTCTGGCCTCGTTTTAGCTAATGATATTGGGCATCACCACCATCTCTTCCCACAGACATAGTGAGTTTTATTCCTATGTACTCCATCTGGTGATGTCCATATGTATAGTTGCCATTGATGTTGTTGAAAAAGTTATTTGCAATGAATACATCATTGCATTTGCAAAATTCTGTCATGTGACCTTCAGCATATTTTCCAACTACTGATCCTTCCTCTGTTTTCAGTTTTCACATTTCAATCACCAGTAATCATTAACACATCATTATTACATGTTTGATCAATTTCAGACTGAAGAAGTTGGTAAAAATCTTCATGTTCATCATCACTGACTTTAGTGACTGGTTCTTAAATTTGAGTGATAGTTGTATTGATTGGTTTTCCTTGTAGGTGTATTGATAATATCTTATCACAGAAATCACTGTACTTCAAGATAGATGTTGAACTGCTCTTTCTGACTATGAATGTGATGTCATTTCTTTTTAGTTTGTGAGACCCAGCATAGTAAACCATATTCAAAATGGCCAATACTAGTCCATCTCAGCTCACTGATGCTTAGGATATGGATCTTTATGCGTTCCATTTTATTTTTGACAACTTCTGATTTTCCTAGGTTCATACTTCGTACATTCCATGTTACAATTATTAATGGATATTTACAACTGTTTCTTCTCATTTTGAGTTGTGCTTCATCAGAAAATGAAGGTCCCGAAAGATTTGCTCCATCTACATTGTTATGGCTAACTTTACTTTGAGGAGGCAGGTTCTCTCCAGGCATATTTTGAGTGGCTTCCAACCTGAGGGACTCATCTTCTGGTACCATATCTGACAATGTTCTACTGCTATTCATAAGGTTTTCATCTTCTGGCACTATATCTGACAATGTTCCATAGCTATTCATAAGGTTTTTAATGGCAAACCATTCAGAAGTGGTCTGCCTCTCCTTCTAGTTTGTTTTAGTCTAGAAGCTCTGCTGACACCTGTCCACCATGGGTGACCCTGTTGATATGTAAAATCCTGATGGCATCGCTTCCAGAATCATAGCAGCACACAAGCCACCACAGTACCACAAACTGACAGAGGAAAAGTGGTTTGCCTTATTTATACTAAATTCACAAGTCTTAAGAAAGGTACCTAAAACAATTCACTTCCTATCAAATGGATTCCGACACACGGAGATCATGTGTCTAAGAGTAGAACTGTGCCACCCAGTTTTCAATGGCTGTGATCTTTCAGAAGTAGATTGCCTAGACTTTTTTCCAAGGTACCTCTGGGTGGACTTGAACCTCCAACCTTTATGTTAGTAGCCTACTCCTTTTTATACTAGAAAGGTACCTAGCATATAGTAATAAATATTTGCTGGATCAATGGAATAAAAAAAGTGAATAAAAATACTAACAGTAGACTCTCTTTCCAGGGCTACGTATCACCAAGAAGCCATGGTGGCGCTATGGGTTAGGCCTTGAGCGGCTAACCACAGGTCTGCCCCCATAGAGATTTATAGCCTTGGAAATTCTATATAGGAATGCTATAAGTTGAAATTGACTCAATGGCGGAGATTGGGTTTTCTGTTGTTTGTTTGTTTTATTAGAAACTGTAATAGCATTCTCATTTCTCAATAGTTGCTATAAAGTTGGGACCAAATAAAGATGAGCAAACCCAGACCTAAGGAGGCTGCTGGGCAGGTGGCTGGGCTGACTCACTAGGCTCCCTGACATGTGATTCAGGAGGTAACATGCTGTGGACCTTCAAGATTGCTTGCAAAGCTCTGAAACTGGTTAAATCCACAGTGCCTCAGGGTTTACTATATTGAGCCCTGGAGAACTGACTCTGTACCAGATACTTAGTCAGATGTTCAGGATACAAAATTGAGTACGACATAGACAAATGAGACCCCAACCCCAAGCCATGGAAACACAGGAGACAGAGCAAAGAATTCTGCTGAGGCCTGGGGTGAGTATCAAAATTACACAAACCATCTAACTCTGAAACTGGACCTTGAATGAGTTAGATTTTGCCAGGCAGTTGAATGTTTTAAGAAAGCAAATACTTCTTAGGAAAGGCAAACATTATAAAATTTTCATCACGTCCTGACCAAAAGACTCATTCACGTTTTAAATACCAACCACAGTCTGTGTCTCCAAATACTGTGTGAAATGAAAGAGTCAGTTTCAGGCAATTAGTCAAATGATTCAGAGTTTCCCAGAATTTCAATTTAGCCTGAAATGTTGCTATTATAAAAACAATAGGAAAGAAAGACAGTGGTGATTGATTTGAATTCTTCATCTTGCATACATAGACGAGCCAAAAGAATTTAACTTGAGAGACGGAAAATTTAGGAGTGGACTCATGGGAAATCATTCTTACTTGGAATGTGCTATACTTTATTTAGAAGTTGCTGTTGTTAACTGCCATCAAATAGGTGCCAACTCATAGCAACCCTGTATAGGGTGTTTCCAAGGAGTCGCTGGTGGGTTTGAACTGCCAACCTTGTGGTTATCAGTCCAGGGCTTATCCTACAATGCCACACCAGGACTCCCCTAATTCATATATACATGGGTTTATTCCAAAGTGTAGTTAGAAGAGAGAGTACAAAACTATAAAAAAGAAAAATTGTTTCTTCCGTATATAATCCACAAAAAATATATTATTCATCCAAAAGATACAGCTTTTCAACAATTTATCCGTTTAAAGTGATGTGTTGCTGTTTTTGTTGTTAAGTGCCGTCAAGTCAGTTCCGACTCATAGCAACCCTGAGGAGCATGAGGTGGGTTTGAACCACTAATCTTGTGGTTCCCATCCAGTACAGATCTTACATCCAAAAAAATTAATTTTTTCAAAACACCAATTCTTGAAATAGCTTCTAATTTAAAAAAAAAAAAAAAAGGTTCTATTTTAAGCAATGTGATTCACAGGACTTTGGAAAGTTAAGTTTCCATGAAGTACATATTCAAATGAATTCAATGATTCCATGAATTAGGATCTTACAAATGCATACAAACCATGTTTTCCTGGCACCAAATCAGGCTGTTTTTTGCTACATTACCTCATTTACGGGTGGAGAAGATATGGATACCAAGTCATCCAGGATGACTGGAGAATCCACAAGAAGAGACGGAGATGAGGTGTATTTGTTTTCATCGATTTTCTCTTTAACATCTTCAAGTAGCATCTCCAACTTGAAGATTTCACCTTCCACTTTCCTAAATGCGCAGGAGCAAACACAAGCACACTCAAACAAACTATTGTATGCTGCCTAGTCAGCATTCTGGCTTAATAACAACAGTTCTTGAATGTTGCTTTGATCTATATTATTGATGTGGCCTATGTCCAGACAGGAAGGATAATGAAGATCAGCCATGACTGGCATCCTGTTTATGGTTTAATCATGAAAGCCAAATCTCTAATCCTCATTTTACTATTCAGTAGTTGTGTATTCTTGGGGAAATTACTTAATCTTTCTGGGCCATCAGTATCTCAACTATAACCCTGAGATAACAATCACTTGTTTACCAGGGTCCAGTGATTTCAAGATCCCTTACAATTCTAACAGCTGTGATTCTATGGTAATATTTGTTTAGGTCAATTTGAAAAGAAGAAGAATACAAAAAATTAATTTACAAGAGGAAGAAAATATTTGCAAGTCATTAATCTATATGATTTTATGTACATGATCTAATCTATATGATTTTATGTACATGTGTATATTAATGTAATTGTATTTTCTCCCACAAAACAGAATCCATTTCCTTTAAATCCATTACAAAAAATGTACCTCATATTATTTAACACAAAAAAGACCGACAAATTCCAAAACATTAAAAACCATACAGCTCACATTCCCTGATCACTTGAGACTAATAGCAAAAAGATGGCAAAAAAAAATCTAATTGGAAAAAAAAAAACAACTAAAATATTTTGGGTTAAAGAGAAATTTAAATGGAAATTGGAGATAATTTACAAGTGGGTGCTATTGAGAGAGCAATATATAAAAGTCAAGGTAAAGCAGCTAAAGCAGTTATTGTTCTATGCCTTCAACTCAGTTCCAATTCATAGTGACTCTATATAGAGTATCTAAGGCTTATAAACATTTGTGGGAGCAGAAAGCCTAATTTTTCTCCTACAGAGCAGCAGTAGGTGAGCTTGAACCACCCACCTTGTGGTTCATAGTCCAGTGCTTATCCTATGGAGTCACCACATTACTATGAGGGAAATTGATAGTTTAAAAATAAATGGGAGGGTAGGGTGGTTAATATTTAAAAAATCAATAAACTAAGTATTCAAAACAAGAAAGCAGAAAAGTACTACAAAATAAACTTAGAAGATAGGGATTTGTAGAAGTAAGCAAAAATAAATATAAAGGAATTTTATCAGTAAAATAAAAGTATTTTCTTTGAAAATATCTATAAAATATACTTTTATAAAGTGTGACTGTGGAACATGCATAATAGGAATGGAAAAGACAAAACAATGGGGACAATTTTTAAATTAAAGAGGATTGAATTTTACATCAATAGTTTAATATCTAGGTAAAATGGATACATTTCTAGGAAAGTATAAATTATTAAAAATTTGCTCCAAAATGTAGGAAGCCTGTAAAGAAACTAATACCCAGAAAAAATGAAACAGATGATCAAAACTGTAACCCCAAGAATGTACCAAGTCCAAATTATTATGAGTGAATCCTACAAGGACTTTAATCCTGTTTGATTGGTCTTCTGGAATATTAAAAGAAAAGAGAAAATTTCATAACTCATTTTATGGGTCAATATTAGAATATTTGTTGATATATAAATAAAGGAGAAAGCCATATGGCATCTAAATAGATTTCTAAAACTCATTTAATCAAATTAAGCATCATTCCAAATTTAGGAAAAAAAATAATTCAAGTAAATTCTAGAATATAAAACATCTCTTTTGATAAAACTGGTCTTCTTGAAACTACAACACTCAATACATTTGGAAGCATTTCTATGAGCACTAGGAACATGACAAGACTATATATTTCACCAAAATTAGTCAAATTAAAAAAAGCAAAAGATACAAGTGGGATATAGGATAAAAACTAGAAGGATTTAAAAAAGTATAAATATTTAGGAGAAAATGCCATTATCATCAGATATGATTTTCATACCTAAAATGTAAAACAATTGACTGAAAAAAACAATAAAACACTAAGAAAAGAATTCCATAAAGTAGTTCAGTTCACGCTAAATGTATTCCCTATGTATCAATTAGACAAAATACTAAAAATTATCAAAAACACTAGAGCAAATTTAAGAATAAACAACCCCCCCAAGTAAAATCTACATGAAATTTAAAAAATTCATGGATGGTAATACACATTGCAAAGATTTTAACTCTTCTTAAATTAATTAGTAAATTTAATAATATCATAAAATTCTAATGGGATTTTATTTAGAAAACTGGGAAAGCTGCTTATGTTTATTAGTATGAGAAGTTTGCAAGAGTAACCAAAGTTTAAAGAAAAAGAAATGTTTCAAAATGTACACTGACAATAGTAATTACAAACTGTGTAGTTAATGGAGAAACAGAAACAGATTATTGGGATTGCAATACCTTGAATTTCCTTGCTATGGCTTTCCTGTCCAAGATCTTCTTAACTCCCACAAAGTGATAGGTAGGACCATGCAAATAAGGTGCACAGGCCTCTAAGACTGGGATTGATTAGTTTTGCCATCCTACTAGGTTTGAAAAGGAACCATCTTGGAAGCAGGAACAGATGATCCCAGTACCATCAAGAAAGAAGAGCTATGAGTGGAATGTGAGATTCCTACCTAGAAAAGCCATGATAGCAGAGGGGGTGGCTGAGGCGGAGGCGTGGAGGGACAGAGTAGCTGTGAACTTCTAGACCCATAGATTGAGTAAAGTTGAGTACCTATACAGGCATACAGCTGGCTTGCAGAAAGTGCCCTTTGGGCATTTACAGATTGGCGAAGGGAGTTTGGTAACACTTGCCCATGCAGGGCAGAGGCTGAGGGAGCACATGACTGAAAGGCTGAAGACAAGAGGTAGGGGTGCCTGCAGTACAGCAGACAAGAGGCGTTCCTGGCTGGAAAACCTGCTGCATCCTGAGTTGTTTCTGATCCTGAGTTGTACCCTGTTTACTTTCCTAACGAACCCCATAATCGTGAGGATTGTTATGAGCTCTGTGCGGCCATTTTAATGGATTATTGAACCCAGATATGAAGCAGAGAGTGCTGTGGGAGGGATGGTTGGTGTCCAAATAGGGTAAAGAAGGTTATAGGGTGGAGGCATGTCTATCTCCACGTCAAGGATTTGGCCGTGGGCTAATTTTGAGTTTGATTTTCCTTCCCCCTTGTGAAGCCAAAGGAAGTCAGACATGACCTCCATCTGGTTTTTGCAGGTATCAAATAGAACCAGGCCCATATACAAGTGAAAGTGTTGAATATCATAAAAGTGGCCCTTTTGAACAACAGGAAGAGACTGTCCTATTCAATAAGTGGTGGGACAAAGATCTAAGCATGAAAGGCCAAAGTGATTTAAGAAATTGCATGAAATACAAGAAAATATATTTATAATCCAGCAGGTAGCAGCAGGGACTAGGGGAGACTTAAAATTTAAGGAAAAAAAGTGAATTGAGGAAGTAAAGCATAGGTAATGGGAGGTGATAGGCTCTAAGGTCATGGTTGCGGGATTAGAAAGTGAAGAAGGAAAAAGGAGGTAAAAATGGCCGCTCAGAGATGGAGAAGACATTTCTGAGAGAGTTCATAGCTTTTCTGTAAAGCAAGAAGGCAGACTTATAGTGAGAATATCAGGGAGGGAGAGTTGACAAAATAGAACCCTGCTTCTCAACTTCTTGGTTTCCAGTGTTAGTATGTCAAAGAATCACAGGACTATTGAACTCCATCTCCTGAGTAACAAGGTGCATGGAATCCAGACAAGTATTTTTGTATATCATCTTTTAAAGGTGACACTTTAAATATCACCAGCACAACAACTGTTGTAGAGTACACAAGTGATTAGTCAATTAATTTGCAGAATTCTTACACCAACAGAAAGCCATCCACAATGGTCTTTGGGTTCAACACCTTAAATGTTCTTCACATACCAAGCCCCCAAGGGCTATATAAGGTCCTGCTCATTTCCGTATTCTGTTCACACCAATACAGAGGACAGTCTCCTGCTGCCCAGCCTTTGCTTGTCCTGCGGTGGCTTTGACGTAGTTTTAGGAGATGCTGGGCTCCTTCCTTGCCCTAATGTGAAAAACTTCTTCTGTATATGGGATATAATTGCAGTTGAAACTCTTTTGATTTATACCAATGCCAGACACAGTGTGGTTGTAGCTAGGATATAAATAAAGCATTGCATAACTTTGGTCTTAATGTGCAGAGAAGCCTGTCTTTAAAATGATGACCTAAACAAGAGAGATTCTGTGAAAAATAAACATCATTACTCTAAACATTTTAAACAAATAGTGAAAACATGTGGAAATCTTTTTATTTCCCCCCTCAGGGAAAAAAAAACAATAATAAGTCTTTGGGGAAAGTCAATATTAAAACCTCCTCACTGCTGTCTAATTACTCAGTATTGAAATGACAGTAGACAAAGGTTCCATTCTTTTGAAAAAGTAAAATCATACCTTAGGGAAAAAACACCTCAGGATGTTAGTGCCACATTAAAAACCATTAAAACATTTTGACATCAAGAATGATTTTGTGTTAAAAAGCTTATATGAATAGAAAGAATGGAATTTACAAGTATTAAACTTATTAGGCAGAGTCTTTTAATTCATGCCAGGAAATTATATGGCAACAATCTAAACCTTGAGTCTTGGACTACATCTTAAATTTATTTGGATTCCAGAGGAAAGTGTAAAGTGCCATAAAAATGGCCAGTTGGAAACTTTAATATGAGTGTACTAATGTACACTCATGGTTCTAATGTGAATTAGCTCGGGGATTATGTAACTTTAAACCTTATCATTTTCCCTTTATCAGAATTTGTGAGTCCCTCACCTCAACACTAATAATGATCATCTCCTGCCCACTGACTCTTGGAAGTTTCAGTGAATGAGAAAGATAAGGGAGGAAAAAGGAAAAAAAGAGGAAACAAGCAGGGATGATATGAGCAGGAATGGGGAAGGAAGGGCTTGAAGAGGAGAGAGGATCCTCTAGGATTAGCATGTGAGCTTTCCTAGGATTTCCCATTCTCCTTTGCCTTTCAGAATCAACAAATGCAAAACTGTGGCATAGTATTTCTCCTCCATGAGACTCTTGTACATTTTGAATGCTCCACCTGGGTCAGTGCCCAGCACAAGACCTTACACAGAGCATGTATTCCTTAAGGATTTGTTGCACGGGGTTGCTCTTTGTTCATCGACGGCACAGTTTTCTCTGACCCTAGACCAGAGGCTATCCAAGCACAAAGGCAAAGCCACATCAGAATCACACCTGAAAGGGTCAGCTCTGAACCCTCCACCTGTACATTTGGCTTAAACCTGACCTTTCTGGATCAAAGTCACCGACAGCTGAGGATATGTGCTTGTGGCCTTGCTGCTGCAGAGTCAGATGCTTCTCCTTGGTGGCCAGAAACTCCTGCTCCAGCAGTTCAAGATGTCCTTGCAGTTTTTCCAGGACCTACAACAATGAAGTCACTTTATCACTCTCATATGCACCTGCTGCTTTCCCCAGAACATAATGTGGGGGTTCTTACAGCAGTGTCAAAACCAAGCTACCATCCTTCTCCTAGCAGCACCAATTGTTTTGTTTCAGCATCTGGCATCTAAAAATAAATAACCTAAGATCCAGCTCAACATCACAACACCATTGTTGTACATAGCTCAAAAGTGCAGTTACTTCTGATTTCTATCCTCAAACTCACTCAGGGGCCTCTGAACTTCCTTTGTTGTTCTTGGTTCCAACTCATAGCAACCCTGTATTCCTATAAATCTTTGCTGCATATCTTTGCAGGAGCAGAAAGCCTCATCTTTCTCCCATGGAACAACTAATATGTTTGAACCACTGACCTTGTAGTTTGCAGTCCAGTGCTTATCCTACAGAGCTACCATGCTCCTTAAACTTCCTTGTTGTTTTTAAGTGCCCTCAAGTTGGTTCCGATTCATAGCAACCCTGTATAGGGTTTTTGAGGCTGTAAATCCTAATAGAAGCAGAAAGTCACATCTTTCTCCCTTGGAGCGACTGGTGGATTTGAACTGCTTACCTTGTGGTTAGCAGCCCAAGGTGTAATCCACTCAGCCACCAGAGCTTCTTTGAACTTTTTTTGTTGTTATTAAGAGTCAAGTTTGTTCTGACTCATAGCGACCCTGTATAGAGTTTCCAAGGAACAGCTGGTGGGTTTGAACCTCAGACATTTTGGTTAGCAGTCCAGTGCTTACCCTACAGTGCCACACCAGGACTCCTTAGCAGGAAGTTAATTAGCCTATATGTATTGGCAGTCCTGGTGTGGTGCTGGAGAATAAGCACTGGACTGCTAACCACAATGTCGGTGGTTCAAACCCACCAACCACTTCTGGAATCCCTAGTCAGGGTCACTATGAGTCAGAACCAACTCGACAGCACTTAGTAACAACATATTGGCAGAGTAATTTTTCCACTACAAAGTATAAAAATCTTTGGCAAAATGATTTTCCCATTCTTTATCTTATTGAATCCACACATCAATGTTGTAAATGCTGCAGAGTAGATTTTATTACCCTCATTTTATAAAGGAGGAGCTTGGAGTTCTAGGAAGTATATCTGAAGCCACTAGAACTGAAGTTAGAGGGCCTATGTTTGAGGCTAAGGGTACTTGGAGGGTGGAATGAGGAAGGAACAAAATGTAGCTCTAACCAAAAGATGTAAATGGGTCTCCAGGCTTTACCACGTACAGCCTCGAAGCAGGTGGATGTTTAAATAACAGGTCGGGTACTTGTTTTGAAGATATACAGCATCATCAGCCCTACATTGTCAATTGGTAAACATTTACTAAGCACTACCCATGTCTGGAGTCCTGGTGTGGTGCTGTGAGTTAATGTGCCAGACTGTAAATCATATGAACTGCAAGGTCGGTTGTTCAAGCTCACCAGATGCTCCTTGGAAACCCTATATAGGGTCACTATGGGTTGGAACTGACTCGACAGCACTTAACAACAACAACAACCCATGTCTGGCCCTGGGCCAAGAGTGTGTGAGAGAGAAAAAAAATGTGTCAAACATAGTTCCTGGTCTCAGGGATTTTATTGCAGTTGGGAAAATAGACCAGAGATTGGTACTTTGCTATAGCTCAATGGAGGAAATGAGACATAAGTCAGTCTTTAAGTGTGGTCAGGAGGTAGTGGTTGTTGTTGTTAAGTGCCGACGAGTCTGTTCTGACCCATAGTGACCCTGTATAGGGTTTCCAAGGAGGTGGTGGAGCCTGCAAAATGGACAGGAAGGGGTGAATTGGAGAGACATTACCAAGGGAAGAAATATAAGTATAGCAAGGTCAGTGGTTCAAGCTCACCAGCTGCTCCTTGGAAACCCTATACAGGGTCGCTATGGGTCAGAACCAACTCAATGGCACTGAACAGCAACAACAACATGGTGAGACTACAATGTGAGGCACACCAGAGTTCAAGTTCAGGCTCTGTCACTGAATGATTTTAGGCAACTTGAACTCTTTAAGCTTCAGTTTTCTCATCTGTCAAATCAAGATCATAATTGCCCTCATCTCATACTGTTCTGAAAGTTAAATGAAATAATGCTTGAAATGCACTTGACATAATGCCAGGAACATGAGGACGATGTTTAAAAATAGATAAGAGTTTGAAACATACTGGCTATAAGAAATGACAAGTGTGGTAGATATATTCCAGTTTCCCCCCTGCAGGCCTGTCCTCCATCTTTCTCTGTGCCCAGGAGGTTGACCTTTAATGAATTGCATCATTGGGCTCCCTTTCTCTCACACAAGGGCAGGAGGAGCTGGGAAAGAATGAGGTAAGGGATCTTTCTCTCCCTGACTCTTCACTCCCCGTGTTGCCTTGGATTGGCTGTGTCCCTCTATCAAAGGCCACAGCGCTCATCAGCTACTCTTTTAGCTACAGCTGCTTTCTTTAGAATCCAATACGTGCTCCTTCCCTGTCCCTTCAGGCCTAAGGTGAAGCAGCTTCCCTCTGATACGTCCATAAGATGCTTTTTAAAAATATTATTATCATCATTAGTTGATGGTACATGGAGGGGAATATAATCATTGTAATGAAACAAAGTGTGTGGTTTGTTGACTGTAAAACTGATGATCTGCCCTGTAAATTTTCATTCAACTCACAATAAAAAACTTTAAAAAAAATTGTTATTCCTAATGGGTGTGCCTTGTAAATGATTAAACTCTCCTCAATTAGCTCATTGAACTGAGCCATTTGTTTCCTAACAGGACCCTGACAAATACTGTAAATATCAAGACAATGTTTAGATTTTTAGTTTGGGAGTTGAGAAGAATGTGCTGCCTCTGGCTAAAATGAAGAATCCAGAAAGGCTAACAAGTTTGAGCAAAGATGTCATTGTTGGCAGAGTTTGCAGTGAGAGGGAGTTAACAAGTGAAGAGACACACAAACATTTGGAGCTACAGATGAGAAGTTAAGACTAGTCATTTAGGAATCTGACAGTAAATTAGGTGCTCAAAGGAAAGAGGACAAGGAAGAAAGAAAGGAAACTCAGTATTGAATTGTAATTTAGGATCTTGGCATTTAAATTGTGTTGAACAGTTTCTAAGTCTAAGTGTACCTCATTGAATTCCCTCAACAGCTCTGATATGGAGATACATGCTACAACATGTCTAAAATCAGATAACCAAGAAGCAGAAATGCTCCAAAATCCAAATGCTTTCTACTATGCTGTGTGAACCAAGTTGTGAAGTTTAGGTCTCAGTCCTGTTTTCCAACACTGGACAAAATGCATCGGGAACTCTTAAATCATTGTTAAGGGTCCCTCTCTTCTCTAAGCTCCAATCAGAATTCTCTTTACCTTCTATCTAACATCAGGAAGAAGCTTCCTCAATCGAGGCCTCTGAAGACTAGTGCCTTGAACAGATTCTCTGTTTTGTCTGCTCTTTGTAATTCTACATTCTCCCAGGTCCTGAAAGCCTGACTCCTTGGAGATCTCCTTCATCTATCACTCACTCCTTAACCCTGCAATCTGGCTTCCCTGGATTCAGCCTTGCTGAGGTCCCTCATGACCTCTTGGCTGCTAAATCCAATGCACATCTTGCATTCCTTTGTAACTTGCCTATTGGATAGTGTGGCCAATTCCCCTTTCTTAAAACGTTCTTTCCCCTGGGCCTCCACAGCTCCACTCCCTCTAGGTCTGCCTCTGACTTTTCAAGCCAGTCCTTGTCAGTATCCTTTGAGGACTCTTTTTTCAACTGCCGACTGGTTTCTCTCCTTGACCCTCTTCACTTCTCTACATGTTTTACTTGGGAAATCTCATCCACCTCATGGTTTCAGCCCACAGCAATACCCAAATCTATATTTCTGTCCTAAGTTACTCCTTTGAGGTCCAAATCCACTGCTCCAAATGTTCACTGGACCTCTCCACTTGAACATTTTATTAAGAACAACAACAATAACAACAACAAAACCTGTTACTGTCGAGTTCATTGCATTGCATTATAAACCCTATATGTTACAGAGTAGAGCTGTAAGTAAGTAGGTAAGGCTGTAATCTTTATGGAGGAGTCCTGGTGTGGCGCTGTGGGTTAATGCGCCAGACTGCAAAGCTGTGTAAACTGCAAGGTCGGCAGTTCAAGCTCACCAGCCGTTCCTCGGAAACCCTCTACAAGGTTGCTATGGGTCGGAACTGACTCGACGGCACTTAACAACAACAACAATCTTTATGGAAGCAGATAAGCAGGCCTTTTTTCCATGGCATCATGGGATGGGTTTGAACCACCAACTTTTTAGGTTGGTAGTCAGGTGCAAACTGTTTGCACCACCCATAGACTTAGGGATGTCCTATGTTGTTGTTGTTAAGTGCCGTCAAGTCGGTTCAGGCCCATGGCAACCTTGTACAGGGTTTTCAAGAAGTGACTGGTGAGCTTGAACTGCCAATCTTGTGGTTCAAACTGACTTTGCAATCCAACGCATTAACCCACAGCGCTACACCAAGACTCCAATGTGGGTGTCCTATTGTTGTTGTTGTTGTTGTTGTTAAGTGTCGAGTTGGTTCCGACTCATAGCGACCCTGTACAGGGTTTCCGAGGGTGTAAATCTTTACGGGAGTAGAAAGCCTCATCTTTCTCCCGTGGAGCGGCTGGTAGTTTCGAACTGCTGACCTTAAGGTTCACAGCCCGATTCGTAACCACTACGCTACCAGAGCTTATAGGGAATGTAAATTCAAAATATCCCAAACTGAACTTGACTTCTTGTCTCTTGCCTACCTTCCACATCATTCTGAACTGGCTCCTCCACTTTTATTTCTGACTTCAGTTGCCCAAGTCAGAAATCTTGAACTCATCTAAACCTCCTCCCTTCCCTTATTCACTCCTTTTCAACCTGCCACCACTTCCTTAAAACTTTAGGTTTGTTGTATCCATCCTCACTGACTCTCAGAACTTGTTCTCTGGATTAGGGCTTCCTAACCAATCTGTCTGTACACTTTTGCTCCCATGATGCTTGCCATTTCCCAGCCTTAAGTCATTGAGTGTCACAACACTCAAACTCAGGATAAAACCTAAGCTCCTTAGCATGACCTACAGGCCTTTCGTGATGGGTTCTTTCTCTAGCTCTCTAGTCTGGTCCACCACATGTACCCTGAGCTCTATCTGGTAGTTACAATGGGATACCATGCTTTACTCCAACAGCACTTTCTTGCCCTTGTGCCCTTGCTTTTGTTGTTCCCTTTCTTCCCTACTCTGCCAGCTTGGTCCTCCTGCAATACCCAGCACAGAACTCACTTCCAGGAAGTCTTCCAAAATTCCCCCTAGCTGGGAAGGGTGAGTCTCTTCTAGTCTGCCAATAGCATCATTTATGATATTTGTCAAGGTGCCTGCCTATTTACCAGTCCATTCTTCCTAGGAGATAATAAAACACTTGGAAAAGAAAGGATTGTTTCTTTATTTTCAAGTCTGTTAGGAGTCCTGGTGTGCCATTGTAGGATAAGCACTGGACTACTAACCATAAGGTCAAAAGGTCAGCAGTTCAACCCCACCAGATGCTCCTCAGAAACCCTATACAGTTGAAATTACACTTAATAGTAACAACAAAAGTGCTTGGCACAAGGTCTGGAATTTAGGATTGTTGTAATTTGGCATCAAGTTGATTTCTACTCACGGTGACCCCATGACCTGGTTAGGACAAACAGTTAAGTACTCAACTATTGGGAGTCCTGGTGTGGCACTGTGGGTTAATTCGCTGGACTGCAAGGTTGGTTTGAACTGCAAGGTCAGCAGTTCAAGCTCATCATCCTCTCCTTGAAAACCCTATACAGGGTGGACTAGACAGTCCTTAGCAACAACAACAACTCAACTACTAGCCTTAAAAACCCTATGGAGCACAGTTCTACTCTGCATACATGGGTCACCATGATGGGACATAGGAAGTGCCTGGTAAGTGTTGAATGAATACAGGAGTTATTAATATGATGGATTAATGAATAACAAACTGTGTCTTTTAGCACTTGGGTCCTCTTGTTTTCTCTCTATACTGCATGGTTTCTGAAGCACAAGCTCTTTGTGCTACCCATAGACTTTTGGATGTCCTATCAGCAGCTCAAACTCAAAATTTGAACTTGCCTCCTGCCTGCCTTCCACACTTAGCCTGAACTCTGCTTCCATTAACATCAGAACTTCGGATGAAGTTTGCCTTGTTGCTGACCCAACAACCAAATTACCTCTCCAGCACATTTCTGCCCCATTGTCTTATCCCACATATGCTTCCCACAGCTTGGGTGCCGATAGGGCTGTTATGGTGACAACATAAATTAGTAATTTTGCTAAATACAGAAACAAGTAAGCAAAGTAAACTATTCTGATCTTTAAAGGATAGCTTCATCAGTTGTAGGAATTTTCAAAGTTGTATATATTTTATTGCCAAATACTAGCAATTAGATTGCCTTTTATAATGGTATATATTTTCTTTTCTTGAATCTACCATGTTCTCAGATGTATTAATAGGTGACCATTAGGGAGTGACAACCATAAACGATAGATTCCCTGAAAAGGTTGTTGTTGTTGTTGAGTGTTGTTGAGTTGATTTCAACTCATAGCGACCCTGCATAGGATTTCTGAGGAGTGGTTGGTGGTGTGGTTAGCAGTCCAGTGCTCATCCTACAGTGCCACACACCAGAATTCTAAGATCTTTTATACAAAGAGAGTTTAATCTTTAGGAAAACGGTTCCCACATATATTTCTATTTCTACCAATGTGGAGAAACCATGATACTATTTTTATTTATCCACTTTGAATTTCCTAATAACAATTTTTAAAATGGGATAAAGTTTATTACCGGTCTCTTGTTTTGAGAATAAGCAGAGTCCTGTGCTATTCTTTTGGAAAAGTCCTGAACCTGCAGTGGAAAAAAATGCAATATTTAATTAATGGCATGTGTCTCATACTTTAATTTGTTTACATTATTATTTGTAACAAACTTTAAGAGTATTACTTTAGCCTTCAGTTGATCGGTCTGTTCTTTTAACTTCTGACACATGTGTTTCCCTTTTATTATCTTTTGAAATATGGAAGAACTTGAGGAAGAGTCTTCCTGAGAGGCTGCTGATATTTGAAAGAGACTTGTGTCCGATTCTATTCCTATATAAGAAAGAATAAGTTTTGTCAAAATTATATATATATAAAGGCTGGGATTACTGGTCAGAAAGAAAGAAACTGGAGGAACCTGAGACTATGACCCTCAACCACTCCTTAGGTCTGAAGTGGAAACTCACCCTCATCACCAAATTTTCAGCCAAGCAGGGGATAGCACCTTAGTAAGGTATGCTCACTGTGGAAATGGTCAATCATTCAAAATCAAAAGGGCAACAAGGCCCCTAGGGACAAACTTAGAAAGGATGGGAAGGACAGTGGAATAGAAACAGGAACCACAGGGAGGAAATGGGATAACCGTTGTCGCATAGAAGGGACTGCAATCATTGAGATGAAACAGTTAAGTGTATGATTTGTTGAATGAAAACTGGTGATCTTTCTCTGTAAATCTTCACACAATTCACAACAAAAAGTTTGAAAAAAAAGAAAAAAGTTTTGGCTGCCATTCATATCAATGTTGTTGTTCAGTGCCATCAAGTCAGTTCCAACTCATAGCAACCCTGTATAGGGTTTCTGAGGAGTGGCTGGTGAGTTTGAACTGCCAACGTTGTAGATCAAACCAACTTTGCAGGCCAGCGCATTAACCTACAGCACCACACCAGGACTCCTATCACAGTGTTATTAAGTAACAGAAGTCTGTGATGATCACTATTTTCTACTTAAAAAAAACAAAAAATCCTGCAATATGCATATATACATTAAAGGAGTTTGAAAATGATAGTACCTGTAAGACGTTCTTGGTGGATGTGTGCCGTAGGCTCCATCTGCACATTGAAAGGACAAGAAAATATAACTGCTGATCAACAAAGCCATTATTCAGAATGACCACATGTGTCCTGGTCATTACAGAGGTAGCCAGTTTTGTGATCAAGAGCCAGGAAAGCTCTTGAATTCCAGCTCTGATACTTATCTGTTGGATGATTTGGGGCAAGTGCTCAATCCCTGTAAGCCTGAGGTTCTTTAGCAGGATAGTGATAGGACCTATCTCCCAGGATTGTTAATGAGGGTTAAAATGATTTACCATAATACCTAGCATGTGGTAAACATTTAATACATACTAACCATAGTCCTAAGGAGCTCTAGTAGCATAGTGGTTAGGAGCTCTGGTACCTTAATGGTTACGAATCGGGCTGGGAACCTTAAGGTCAGCAGTTCGAAACTACCAGCTGTTCTGCGGGAGAAAGATGAGGCTTTCTGCTCCCGTAAAGATTTACAGCCTCAGAAACCCTGTGCAGGGTCACTATGAGTCGGAACCGACTCCATGGTACTTAACAACAACAACAACCATAGTCCTGGTGTGGCTCTGTGGGCTAATGCATCAGACTGCAAAGTCGTTTGAACTGCAAGGTCAGTGGTTCAAGCTCACTAGCTGCTCCTTGGAAACCCTATACAGGGTCACTATGGGTCAGATCTAGTCCATGGCACTTAACAACAACAACAAACATTATTACACTGTGCACAAGGTCGCTTGGGTAAGTACTGACTCAATGGCACCTAACAACAACAACAACCATTATTACTATTGTATCTGACACGATTATGTGGACTACTCAAACATTTCTCCTGAAACATGGCCATAAGTTCTATGAGGACAGGGATTGTTGTTGCTCTCACAGTAACACCACACATGCAGTCACCACATTCTAAAGGACAATAGACAGTGTACATGACGTTCTGAAATGTATGCCAAGACAGTGACTGCCATAGTCTGACTGAACAAGGGTAATTCCAGAGTGATTCACTTTGAGGACTTTTTCATTTTTACTATCACATGAAGCCCAAAACATGCTAGTGACAGAGCATTACATGGTTAGAGATCTAATTAGACCATGGGCACTGTGAATATCTTATTTACATTACAGATGTGAAACCTATAGAGCTCATTTTTCCAATCCAACTTGATAGAACTAAAGAAATTAAACTCTTGACCTCAGACTCCCACAACCAGAGGAAGGTAAGTCTAAAATTCATCTGTGCACCCAGGGACTTTCTCCCTCCAGCAAAATGAGGAACCCTGAGACTCAGTGGAATTGCTCCAAGACCTGGCTTTGGCCAGAGGGCTGCCAACTTGGGCAGTGAGGGTTCTACTATCCACAGGTGTTCTGCTGAAAGAGAAGCAAGTAAAAGCATAAAGGAATGGAAATGGAAATAGGCAGGCAGGATTGTTCGTTTTCCTTCAAAAGAGCTTAAATAAATAAATAAAAAATCACAGTCTTGGCAACATGCCAACTCCAAAAATGTTTACTTTGTTCATAGATATGAATTTGGCTTTGCTGTAGAACTGCTAGCGAAAAGGTTGGTAATTCGAACCCACCAGCCACTCCTTGAAAACCTTATACAAGGTCACTATGAGTCAGAACCAACATGATGGCACTTAACAACAACAACAACAATGAACCTGAAGATACTCAATGAGATCATGTTGGCAAGTTGAGTGGGGGGTGGGGGAGGAGGATGGGAAGTAAGGTAAGAGGAAATGAGAAGTGGCATCATTTAAGCATTAATAAAATTTGGCACTGAATAATTACCAAACTAACAGCTTGAAGTATGTTATTTAAGATTTTAATTCAATTCAATTTATCATTAATAACAAAGGGTATAATATAAGTAAAACACAAGGCTAAACTGCTAGGGGGAGTTAGGCAATGAAAAGATAGGAAAAGTTTACTGCTCTCTAGAGTCTTCCAATCTATTGGAAAAAGCAGATATACCACCATTGCTCTCAAATTATTGATACAAATCACCCTGAGATTAACACTCTCACAGAAGTACATAACAAACAAGGGTAGGAAAGAGTATGACTTGGGGAATCATCTGAAAAGTCGTATAGCACAAGTAGGGACTGAAGAAGACCATGGAAATGAGCAAGTCTTGGGTAAGTAGAAATGGGACAGACCATGCAAGGCAGGTGCTCAGAGAATTCAAGAACTGAAGAGAGACTTGGACCAGCCAGGTAACAGGATGACATCCTGGTAGAAAGGAGCTAAGACTAGAATAGTAACCAGTTGCTGTTGTATCCATTTCAATTCATGATGACCCCATGGGTGTCAGAGTACAACTGATTTCTCAGAAGTAGATGGCCAAGCATTTTTTTCAAGGTGGCTCAGAGTGGACTCAAACCTCCAACTTTTCAGTTAGCAACCAGCAATGCTAACCATTTATAGCACGTCCCAAATCCCAGGTTGAAGAATTCAATTTTGGTCTCTTAAGTATTCTTGTTAGTCTGGTTCCTGATTTTTCCAATGAGAACATCCACTAATCTTTTGAGAAGTCATTAACTTAGGGTGACCCAGACAGCTCCATGTTGTTGTTGTTGTTAAGTGCTGTCAAGTCTGTTCTGACTCATAGTGACCCATACAGGGTTTCCAAAGAGCAGCTGGTGAGCTTGAACCGTTGACCTTGCATTTCAAAGAGACCTTGCAGTTCAGCGCATTAACCCGTAGTGCCACACCAGGACTCCATACCCCTTCCTAAAACCCACACTGATATAGATGAGCTGTGGTACTGATTATGTATGTACTCACTGGAGACTACTTTCTCTTACCTGTATTTTTTGTGAAGGTTCAACGGCTTCCTTTTCCTGCTCTTGATGTTTTCCAACACAATTTGTTCTAGGCATAGTTTCTAAAAGATCTTGCACAAGAGCTGATTTATCTTTCAAGTCGGAAGATCTGTTTTGTTTAGTTACTCTAAGTGGTTCATTAATTACGTTATTTTTAGGAATTTTCACTTTGGGAGCAACCTTAGAGAAATCAGAGAACTGATAATGAACTTGACCTTGGCCATATTTGAACCCGGTCCCGGAACTTGATTTTTCAGTCTGTTGTTTCTGGGATGCCAGCCTTTGAAAACTTTTTTGTTTGTCACTTGAATCGTTGGTTTTAGCTAGAAAGTTTGGATTCCTTTGATGGCTGCTGCATCCAGTAACCACTGGCTCTTCTAAGTCAGAGAGGTTTTCTTCTCTTATAATTGGAGAACAATTAGGCTTAGTGTTATCTTCACCACCCCTTTCCGGGTTGAGTTGGTCATCAGCTTCTGAGGTTTGTTCTTCTGGACAAGAATCCTTAACATAACAAAAAATAACATTTTTAATAATAGCTTCATCAAAACTATCAGCGTTAGAGACCTCTGGGAGAGTTTCACAATCAATGCCTTGGCCTCTTAAAAATTCCTCTTTGGAAAGATGATTGAGTAAAATATCAGAAATGTTTGACTTTGAAGTATTTTCTTTATTAGGTGGCATATGAAAAATTATAGTACATTGTTTCTCTGTATCATGTATTTTGTTGACAGTATTTTCAATAATTTTATCTAGAACCCTGGCCAAATCTGCATTTCTACAAGTCTTATTTTGTATAGTATTTTCCTGAGGGTCATCTACTGTTAAAACAGTTTCATGTGAGACATCGAGAATGTCATTTTCTGAGGTAAAATTGTAATCATTGCATATCTTAATTGGGGGGATGTCCCCATCATGAGGAAAATCCTCTTGCTGTATATAAGTCATGTCATCTGAAAAATCCGCTTCATCCATGTATGTACAGCCTGATGTCTCTTGTCTTCTGATACTTGTTACTGACGTTCTTAATTGTAACAATTAAATCTTCTACTTTTTATTGATCATCTTCATTGTGTGTCTTATTCTGTGAGAAATGAGAAGAACCTCATTGTTAAGTATATTGGAATGATGTATACACTATGCTTACCCTGTCATCTCTAACAGACCAAAATGGATGCTTTTCATTTATAGAAATACAATGTATAAGTATGAAGGCAAGTTCAACCAATTTTGTGTTAACATATCATTGCTGTTTTTAAGTGCCATCGAGTTGGTTCCAACTCTTAGTGACCCAGTCTATAGTTTCCAAAGATGTCTGGTGGGCTTGAACCACTGATTTTGTAGTTAACTTATCCTACAGTGCCACGCCAGGACATCATTGTGAGGTGCAGCTGGTAGGTTTGAACTGCTGACCTTGTGGTTCTCAGTCCAGTACTGATCCTACAGAGGCACAGCAGGGGCCCCCAGGACATTGTTGTTGTTGTTGTTATGTGCCGTCGAGTCGATTCCGACCCATAGTGACCCTGCATAGGGTTTCCGAGGAGCAGCTGGTGTTCTTGAACCACCGACCTTGCAGTTCAAATGGCTTTGCAGTCTGGAGCATTAACCCACAGCGCCACACCAGGACTCCAGGATATCATTGGTGGTGGTGGTTGGTGGTTATGTGCCATGGAGTCGGAACCGACTCATAGTGACCCTGTACAGGGTTTCCGAGGCTGTAAATCTTTACGGGAGCAGAAAGCCTCATCTTTCTCCCGCGGAACAGCTGGTAGTTTCGAACTGCTGACCCTGAGGTTAGCAGCCCAATTTGTAACCACTACGCTACCAGTAGCAGTATAAAAATGAGGAATTGAAAAGTGACGGAACCTTTAAAGTTTAAAATTTTTCATTCCTTAAATTTTGAGGAGGCATTCTGCTTCTGTAAAGATTTACAGCCTCGGAAACCCTGTGCAGGGTCACTATGAATCAGAACCGACTCCACGGCACTTAACAACAACTGATCTATAAATATTTATCAACCTTGCTTAGTAAATATCATTTGGAATTTGTTCTCTTGAAATAGAATTTGGGGATGCAAGTAAAGAAACCCTGATGGGGTAACAGTTAAGCACTCGGCTTCTAACAGAAGAAACTTTGGCTATTTGAACCTAGCCAGCAACGCTGTGGTAAGAAGACCCAGCAATCTGCTACTGCAAAGATTCCAGCCTAGAAACCCTATGGGACAGTTCTAATCTGTCACATGGGGTTGCTACTTTGAATCCTAGTCAAATAAATGGTACCTAACAACATCAATCTCCCAAACTAGAAGTTTGTATTGCAATTAAGGATTGGTGTTTTTTTAAAATACAGTGACCATGGCTTTTCTTCAAATCACTCATGGGTTTCTAAGTTGTGTGGCACTGAAAAGCTCACTTAGCTCTAACTCAACCACCAACCTGCTCACCTCTGGTGCTTTTTCATCAGTCCCTCCAGACATTCTGATACTGTTCTTCTGATTTGCCCTTGGATGCCTCAGAAGGGCCCACAAGGAATGAGGAAAATATGAGTATGACCAAGAAACATCAGGGACTTTTGAACACCTGGAAAACCATCTGCAGCCAAGCTTTCCTGCCCCACTCCCACACAGGAGCCAAGTTGGAGACACTATCTTCCTTTCAGCAACCCCAACCAGCTACCTCATCCCAGCACATAACAACATATCTTATGAATTCAACAGAAGATGGTCAGCACAAAACCAGCCACCATTGGCATGAGCCTTTTGTAAAAACAAAAACCACAGTTGAAGAAAAAGATGCCCATTTATATATCTCATGTCTGATTAGTGAATTTCAGGGAACTTGCTTAGAAGTAGTAAAAATTGTCTTAAGTATTAGGTAGAAAAAGCAGGCTTTAAGAAGCTCTGATGCTACAATGGTTAAGTGCTTGCCTGCTAACCCAAAGGTTGGCAATTTGAATTTACCCAGTTATTCTACAAAGACCTGGAGATTGGCTCCTGAAATTATACTGCCTAGAAAACCCGATGGAGCAGGTCTACTCTGTCACACGGGGTTGCTATGAGTTAGAATCAACTCACTGGCACCCAATTTTGACCTGAGCACCTGCACAGCTTTGCTGTTTAATAGCCCAGGGCAACCGTGGCCACAGACTGACCTGCATAGAGTAGCCACAGCTCTCTTGCCCACACTATGACAAGGGTGAGCTAGTTAATCTCAGATCCTCTCCACATCTAAATTTTTTAAGTCTAGTTACTTGTGATATATTTAATAATCTAAAGTATGATATCTGACAAAGAAATGTTGACTTTAATTCTCTAATAAAACAGGAGTCCAAATAAATGTGATAAAGACATTTGTGAAACACTGTACAAAAAATCTTAATTTATAGATACACACCCAAATACAAAAATATGCTTCAATGGGACAGAGACAGAGATGACTGCAGGATTTCTGTAAGTCATTTATGGTATCTGATATTTACTATCCACCACTCCTATGTCAAGGAGCTCTGGTAGCATAACTGTTACAAGCCGGGTTGCAAACCTAAAGGTCAGCAGAATGAAACTACCAGCCATTCCACAGAAGAAAGATGAGGCTTTCTGCTCCTGTAAAGATTTACAGTCTCGGAAACCCAATACAAGGTTGCTATGAGTTGAAACCAACTCCACTACACGCTACCACCACCACCGCCATTCATATGTCAGTTTGTCTGTGGGGACTTGGGTGTTGCTGTGATGCTGGAAGCTATGCCAAGGGTATTTTAATACCAGTAGGGTCACCCATGGTGGACAGGTTTTAGCAGAACTTCCAGACGAGGAAGAAAGAGAAACATACTTCTGAATGTTTAGCTACTGAAAATCTTATGAATAGCAGTAGAACATTGTCAGATATAGTGTAGTGCTAGAAGATGAAAATATTATGAATAGCACCAATGTATTGTCAGATACAGTGCTGGAAGATGAGCCCCTCAGGTTGGAAGGCACTCAAAATATGACTAAGGAAGAGCTGCCTCCACAAAGTAGAGTTGACCATGATGACAAAAATGGAATAAGCTTTGGGCACTTTTATTTGTGTTGGTGGGGTACAACTCAAAATGAGGAGAAACAGCTGCAAATTAATAATGAAAACATAAAATATATGAAATATAAATCTAGGAAAATTGAAAGTTGTCGAAAGTGAAATGGAATACAAAAAGATTGGTATCCTAGGCATTAATGAGATGAAACGGACTGATATAGACCATTTTGAATCTGACAACCATATAGTTTATTATACCAGGAACAAAAAATTCAAGAGGAATCCTCAGAAACCCTATACAGGATCATTATGGGTCAGAACCGACTCAATAGCACTTAACAACAACAAGGAAGACCAGTTAATACCACTATGATTCAAATTTACTCAACAACCACTAAAGCCAGTGATGATGAAATTGAAGAATTCTAACAACGTCTTCAGACTGAAATTGATCAAACATGTAATCAAGATGTATTGATAATTACTGGTGATTGGAATGTGAAGGTTGGAAACAAACAGGAAGCATCAGTAGCTGGAAAATATGGCCTTGGTGATTGAAATGCTGCTGGAGGTCACATGATATAATTTTGTAAGACCAATGATTTATTAATTGCAAATCTTTTTTAAAACAACATAAAAGGAGATTATGTACATGGACCTCACCAAATAGAATACACAGGAATCAAATTCACTGCATCTGTGGGAAGAGGTGGTGAAAAAGGTCAATATTACCAGGCAAAACAAGGACAGATTGTGGAACAGACCTACAATTGGTCATATGCAAGTTTAGGCTGATGTTGAAGAAAATGAAAATAAGTCTACAAGAATGAAACCTTCTACATATATCACTTAAATTTAGAGAGCATCTCAAAAAACAGATATGATGCATTAGACACTAGTGATTGAAGACCCGAAGAGCTGTGAGATGACATAAAGAACATCATGCAGGAAGAAAGCAAAAGGTTGTGAAAAAGGAAATAAAAAAACAAAATGGATGTCAGAAGAGACTTTGAAACTTGTTTTCCGGGATAGAGAAGCTAAAGCAAATGGAAGAAATGAGGAAGTAAAGAAGCTGAACAGAAAGTTCCAAAGGGCAGCTTGAGAAGACAAAGTCAAATATAATGAAATGTGCAAAGACCTGGGGTTAGAAAACCAATAAGATAAGCATTTCTCAAACTGAAAGAACTAAAGAAAAAAAATACAAGCTTCAGGTTGCAATATTGAAGGATTCTATGGGCAAAATATTGGATAATGTAGAAAGCATCGAAAGAAGATGGAAAGCATACACAGAATAAGAAGCAGTTCGTATTCAACCATTTCAAGAGGTAGCAAATGATCAAGAACCAGTGCTGAAGAAAGAAGTCCAAGGTACACTGAAGGCATTGGCAGAAAACATGACTCCAGGAATTGACTGACTACAAATTTAACAAGTTGATGTAGCCCTTGAGGCCAAATTCATCTATGCCAAGAAATTTGGAAGACAGCTACCTGGCCAATTGATTGGAAGAGATACATAGTTGTGCCTGTTCCAAAGAGAGGTGACCCAAAGGAATGCAGACACCATCAATCAATATCATGAATAGCACATGCAAATAAAATCTTGCTGAAGATCATTCAAAAAAGGTTGCAATAGTACACACAGACAGGGAATTGCCAGAAATTCAAGCCAGAGTTAGAAGGGGACATGGAATGGGGGATATATCACTGCTGATCTCAGATGGATCTTGACTGAAAGCTGAGAATACCAGTAAGATGTTTACTTATATTGACTATTCAAAGGTTTTCAACTGTGTGGATCATGACAAACTATGGATAACATTTTGAAGAATGGGAATTCCAGAATAATTAATTGTGCTCATGAAGAACACGTACACAGACTAAGAGGCACTCATCCAAACAGAGCAAGGGAATACTGAATAGTTTTAAATCAGGAATGGTGTGCACCAGGGTTGCATACTTTCA